TGTCTTTTTACGACCGCAGCTCGTTACGTTTGAGTGGTTGAATGTTTTTTCAATGAATTCATAGATAAGACACATTTCACCGCAAGTTAGCATATTCTGTTGAACTATTGTCTAAAAGTCGCTTGACATTTAAAACTTTGTGTTAATTAAGAGATTGCGTTTTAATAAAAGGCCGACAACGTTTATGATATTTTTTGTTTATTCATATTTACTTGTGAAAATATCGTCGTAGTTAATGTTCTTGTGTAGTGGGTAGATATTCGGAGTTTGTTTGTTTACTTATTATGTATTATATAATACTAAAGTAACAAGTTGAATAGTTTAGTTTGATTTCGAAATGCCGATAATGCTGATCTTTTCTTTGCTTCAGGGCAAAAGAGAATTTGCCAAAGTAGCGAACTGAAGCCAAGTTGTGTTTTAATAGAGAAGTTAGAATTCATAAAGGTGTGAGCTCTCTGCCTGGGTCATCTGGACTGCGTTTTTCGAATTTTATGTAATGCACGGACATAAGAAAAAGTTCCACATACCCAGAAAATTTGTGTAAAGAACAAAAGCTTACTAGATAATCCATTTCTCTAAACCTCATCATTAATTAGTAGAAACGATAATTACTTTGTTTTAGAAAATAATCTAGAAGGAAGTCCGCAATCGAACAAAGTTAATAAAGGATATTAGAAGTGTTTTTCTCACCCTCCATATCTATTAGAATTTGTATAAAGAAAAGAAAACCGACATGGAATTTATACAGGGACGTAATCGCTTGAAAATGAGACTAAAAGTTGAATTTTTCGTAGGTGATGAACCTTCAGAATCATTATTGTACGCATCACCAAAGGATGAGAGGTGTATTCATTTTGTCAGAACGTTTGCATCGCCCAAAAGGAAGCATCAGAGACAACATCAAGATCGAATTCTAAATCGATTTAAACATGTCCGTCCGTCCGTCTGTGTAATGTCTGTTGTAAACATTCTCCTGGCCGTAAAAATGAAGCTATCGCGTTCAAATTTGGCAGAAACATTAAAAGTTCTTGCACGCAGGTTAGCATTGGAAATAGGCTGAATCGGTCGAACGATACGGCCACGACATCACGTAAGCTAAAAACACCTTTGTTTTTCAAAAGAAGTGCAAAACTGGTTTTTTACTCGAACGCATGATCTATGGACGATGCTGTAGCACCTGACAATAGTCAGGTGAAGAAAGTTTTGCGTTTCTTAATAAAACGAAAAAAAACAGACAAGTAAGATAATTATATTCGGTCGTGGCTGAATCTTTTACACTAATCAGTGTGATCCTAAAAAAGAGGAAAAGAACCACATTTTCATGCTTTATAATATTGGATGGACGTGGTTGATATTTTTAATTTGTAGAAGAAAAGTGGAAATTGTAGCATTTTATGAGTAACGAGCAGAAACCACGGAAAGGAGAGGTATTTATAGCTTTTGCCATATCGACGGGTGGGCGTTGTAAGAGTGTTCTTTGAAAATTTCGTGTTGTTTTCGAATTATTTTGCAAGTTTGTGTGCGAACGGGAGAGTGTTTATCACAGAGACTGCACAGTCGTGCAGATGGACAGATGAACGAACGTACATGCATGCAGGTGCATTTCGAAATTGAGATTGACCAAGCATTTATGCACTTTATCATGTTCACGACCCATTTTGCCGATTTTCAATACCAATCTGCGGGCAAGAACTTTCAATGTTTCGGCCGAATTCAAAGGCGATAGCTTTATCTTTGCGACCAGGAAAGTCTTTACAACCTACATTGCACAGACGGGCATACTTAAATCGATTCAGAATTAGTTGCTGACCAAAAATATATATTTTTTTTTTTGAGTCCCTGAAATTTTCTTCTAGGCGTTGCAAATGTTTTCACTAAATTAATACACTCTTTATCTTTTGCTGATGGGTATAAAAAAAATGAAATTAATTATATAGAGTGTCCCGAAATTTACACAAGATTTGGATTTTTCGCTATTTGTACGGTAAAGTGTTGGCAATCCCCCCAAAAAAAACAAACGGTTTGGCAGTTGACCGTTTAGGATGAATAAAAATGGAGCAATAGACGAGAGAGCGGCGGATTTTCACTGTGGAACAATATATCCAAAAACATTGTGACAGTTGGCCAAGCAATGACAGTTACTGGTGCTCGATGTCGCGGTATGATAACCCAGTTCTTTCTGCCTAAATTGGATGAGATTGCTGCGAACAACATGTTGTGTCACATACCACATATTCCGTGAAACAATTCAATTACTGCATGACACATTTCCTGGTCTCCTCTTCCTCTTTCATTTCGGCGATCAAAATTGCGATAAAAGAGCCAGCAAAGCTGTGGAAGCCATTTTCTTCGCCCAAATGCCATTCGACACCTAACCCTTGCCTATGTGCATTACGATTCAATAAAAAATTTAAAATTGGAAAAAAATTAATTATGATAACTTTGGGACGCCCTATATGTATTACTAATATAAATATTTTTTATTCCTCCCTTTTCATCAAGTATTCTTTTTCCAAGTCTTTTTTCTTATCTTCATATAAATTTACTTTCTTCCTCGACTCTTCCGTTTATGATAAGCACAAGTGTTTTCTTTGCGGACGGCATGACTGCCAAGCAAAAACTTGGCATCATTTACATGTCTACACAGAAAGCAATTCCTTTCTATATAAAATTTTGAACCAGTTTTATACAAATAAATAAATCATTGAAAGCATTTGCACTCCATTGATACTATGAAAGGAAGGTGTCATCATAAATGTTTAAAAATTATTGCTTGCGGGCTAATATCCAAAAATCGTGTTACGTGATAATTAATGCT